GTCATGCCTCATGCCTATAATCCCAGCACTCAGGAGGCTGAGGCAGGAGGGTCACTGTGAGTTCGAGACCAGCCTGGGCTACACATTGAGTTCCAGGTCAGCCTCAACCACACAGTGAGACCCTGTCTCAAAAGAACAAAACCAAACCAAAAACAAACAAAAAAACAAGATGCTCCTTTCAAGAGATGGGATAGGCCTCCAAGCAGTACCTTAGGTAAGAATAGACCAATAGGTCTTGTAGCCCAGGGGTCAGATGAACCTGTGTTCACTCTGCCCTTTCCCTTCTCCTAGTTCCTTGGGTGCCCCTGAACAGACAAAGGGAGAAAACGCTGGCCAAGCATATACAGAAGCTCAGCAGCCTGCATGAAGGAATGAGTATAAACATTCAACTTCCTGAGTTAAAGCCCAGAGAGAAGTAACTGGGATCCGGTGTGGAGGGGCAAGCCCGATAGAGCAGAGCCCAGGAAGGCCTAGGAGTGCCACCTGGCCTTTGAGGTACATCTTCCTGCAGCTGGGCCCGGCTAGGTGTTGTCTAGGCCGGACAACAGAAGCCCCAGTGATCTTTCAGAAAGGTCTGCTGTACCTTTGGGCCTATCAGTCTTCAGGGGCGGCCTTGTGCGCATGTATTTGTGGGATGCACCTTGGCCCTTTTCTCACATTGCCAGGAGTTGAGAGCCACTGGGGTACTGGCTGTGTCCACGGGGGCCATGGAAACCGGGCCAGATTAAATGAATGCCCTTGTTTACCATGCAGGGAACCCAAGGCATGAGCCAGGGTCTGGTTCTCTCCTTCTTGGGGTGGGAGCTTCCATGGGACTTGTTGATCTCACTCAGGGATTTTACATCTACTGTGACCTAGTAAAGCATTCAGACAAACAGAGATCAGACAAAACAAAAACAACAGAGAAACAGAGATGATAATGGCAAACAATAGTCCCATCACCCAGTGTCGCACAATTCTTAACGTTCTATTCTATTTCATATTTGCTTGAGATTTTTGTTTAAAAAGGTCATAGACACAACCCAAGCATCTCTTCCTAGCTGGCATCCTTCTTCCTGACCTCCCTCGAGCCACCCCTAAGGTAGGGACCACGTCCCCACTATATCCGTGCAGTTTGCTGCTGTTTGAAGGCATCGCAGTGTGTTTCCATGTTGGTTGTGTCTGCTTCTGCGCTGCAGACAGAATGAGCAGGGAGCCTATTTGCTCTATGAGTTCACCTAGGTCCCTGATGACAAAGCCTTTCGAGCTTTCGTAACAAAACAGCGGCTGTGGAACAGGTTTGGCACGGCTGCTGTAGGGCATCCACATCCAGCCTTTTGGCTTGTCTGGGGTGCGTTGTATGATGAGGGAGTGCCTTGGGCTGCATGTAAAACCTATGCAGTTAATATATATACGGATATGTATGTATTTGAGTTAGTTGATATATATAAGTAACAAACATTCCTTTTTTATATTTTAATTTTTGTTTTATTAAATAACAAGCCCAAGTTTAGTAATTAAATAGGAAAGCTTAAATGCCCGCTTAATAACAATAAATGCCTGTCTTCACAGGCACACACGTGTGTAAGTAGGTTGAAGTTCTATTAGTGGCAGTCGCTGCATTCTACTCACCAAGTCGCACACCTGCCTGTAACGTCTGATATGTGTGGGTTGTCACTGTGTGTGACAGATATTGTAGGCGGATTAGTACTGCATCGCTCCCTGCCCTATATACTGCGTTCTGTTGTTACTTATGCCATTGATAAATTGCTCAACCACTGGACAGTCGTGTCATGAAAAAGATCACTATGAAATCACATAATAAATGTAAAAGTTGATGGTCTTGTGGGGCCGCATTACTAACTGCCTGCCCAGGGCTGTGCGCGTGGAGGGCTGCAGATTGGACATGCCTGCTCTAGGGCCTCTCCTGGGAAGGGTGACTGCAGCCCTCAAAAGATACACTCGGGCTGGGGATTTGCTCAGTGGCATACCACCTGCCTGGCAAGTGTGAGGTCCTGACTTTGAGCCCCGGTACCGAAACCAAAACCAAAACCAAAACCAAATACACTCTTACCTTCAGCTTTGCAGGATTTTCAATTGCTTTCCGGCCCAAGCTCCTCCAGTGGGGAACAGAGCCTGGGCCTCAGCCCTGCCTGCAAACCCAAGGCTGTGCTGTGGCATTTCACTGCTGTGTATCATTGCCCATCCCTTGTGGCTTTGCCCTGTTTATTTGTTGATTCATTGGCACCACAGTGTTTCACTTGAATAATATACAGTAGTCAGTTTTATCAATCTTTTTCTTTGTGTGTTTTTTTTCAGTGTGTGTGTGTGTGTGTGTGTGTGTGCATGCATGTGCTAAGAGAACCTTTTCCCCTGAGCTTGAAGATATTCTGCCATATTTTCTACTGAGATGTAAGAGTTTTGGGTTTTTTCACATTCAGCTTATGAAGGTACCTTGAATGGAGCTTTGCATGTCTATTTGTGTTTCTAGCTCTTGCTGGTCCAATTTTGCCTGGCTTCTGAAAGCTCTATGGTGATCTGGGTTCTGGTGGGCAACCTCCCCATCTCCCCAAGGATGTCTTTATAACCCACAAACACTGGGTGCACCATGAGGAATAGGGGCACATGGTACTGACAAGCCAGCCAGCAAAAGCCTCACTGAAGGATTGGGTGCTGGACCTGGGCCCTTTGTCGTGGAATTTTCTGGGTGCTGCCCCTCATCTTGTGGAGGGATTTATAGCAGTAGCTGGGGCGGGGGAGATGGCTGAACAAATGGAGGAAAGTAAGGAGGCAATGGAGAGCGCACCCTGGAGGTCCATCCTCGGTGACTCTGAGTGCTGTGTCTTCTGGGTTGGCCGGTGTGGCCATGCCCCCAGGGACGTCTTTTCTAGCCTTCTGCATGGGGGTCTGAGGGGGATGGGCGGGCTTCTCCTTCAGTGGATTTAGTATGACCAGTGTGTGACCTTAGGCAGTAGTGTAGGCCTTGAGAGCCTGGATTTCACCACCCAAGTGGTTCAGCAGGGACGGCCTGTGCACAGGGCTCAGCCAGCTCTCAGCATACAGTGGTGGTCTTGATTATGGGTTTGCACACCGGAAAGCCTTTAAACAAATGAGTACATTTGCATTGCCAAAGAGTGGTGCTTATTGTGGGGATTTGGTACATGTTTATAGTATATCTTGATCACTTTGCATCCCTTCCCCCTTCCCTCTCCCCATTCTACTGAAGCCCCCCCCTTTTCGCTATTACGAATTGTGCTACAATAAACATTGGTATGTATACTATAGTATAGTCTGATGTCTTAAGCTCTTTGTTTTTGTTTTGGTTGTTCATTGGTACAATTTAGATATAGATAACAATCACATTCATCACAGGGAATTTGTACCCGTACACAAT